ACATGAAAGAGTTTGCTTATGGAATAAATGTGGTTATGTAGTGTGTCAAGTTTGTTGTGTTTATATGGATGAGAGTTTTAAGAGGTGTTAGTTTATGAGTTGAATGTAGTAGGATTAGTGTGGGAGAATGAGGTTTTAATGAAATTGGTAGAATGAAGATGATTGTGAAGAGTTATGGTGGTTTGATTGTAGGAAAAATGGTGATTTTATGTTTCTTCTCAATTCCACTTCTTTTGATTTTAAAAGAAAGAAAAAAGAGATATTGTGAGAGAATTGGTTTTGAGTGAGAATGGAAAATGATTTTTTCTTGCAACTTTGAAAGCAGCGCCCCCTTTTGGTTTGTAGGCTAAGTGTTAAAATTGGGAGAGAGACAAGCAACTTATTATTGTGTGTGGTTTCTAGGTTTTTTTAGAGTCTCCTCATGTTATGGCCAAGTGTACAATATATAACGGAACACCTAGGGGTATGACAAGAGCAAGTTGAGAGTCAAGTCCATTATGCATGTCTTTTTTTACCTAGCATTCATAATTAATAGAAAAATACCTCAGTATCACTAAACTAAAAAAATATATCAGAAAAAAAAAAAAAAAAAAAATAACACAAAAATAAAAATAAAATAGAAAATAAAAATTAAATTCTAAGTATTTACAACTAAAAATTAGAAACTAAAACAAACAAAAACAAAAATTAAGGATAAAACAACAAATAAATTATAACAAAGAAAGTTCAAATTTAAATCTTAAAAAATAAAATAAAATTAAAAAATAACAAAACCCACACAAAAGTTGCCTTGTTGAAATCAACAATCTCCGCAAACGGCGCCAAAAACTTGATGACAAAACTAACAAGTGTACTAGTATGTATTGATGTAATAATAAAGTATCCGTCTCCATGATGATTGATTTTTAACAAGGAAAACGAGTGCGAGTTAACATAACACAATTCGGGGGGAGGGGTGTTTGAAAATTGTTTGTTTGATTCGAAAATAAGAGAAAATTAACTTTGTAAAAGCTACGATGATAAAGGCGATTAGATCTTTTCATTAGAATCTCCTACTTCTATTCTATTCATGAAATGCACATTAACAGACATGCAGAGACATAATAGTTACACAAAAGATTAACCATACCACTGCACCTAATCCCTTGGTGTGCAACTCACTAATCTAAGTGTTAATTCTCAGATCCCTCAGGTCAATTGAAACGTCAGACTAGGCATTAGAGCGTGTTAATCTCTAAGCCACAATTCCCGATTAGACTATCCCTAGTTAATTAGACAATATAACAACTATCGTATTTTTGATAAGTAGTCATATGGTTAATATGTCACTACTTACCTATATCAAATTGTGTGTTGTAACATACAATAGGTAATGAACACAAGCGAGAATTGAATAATAACAATATGTCAAAGCAATAACATTAACATCATCCATTCATTTCTCCCAATAGAATAAAAGTAGGTTCATCATATAAAAAGACTTAACCTAGGGGAAATATAGCTACTCATAGTGTAAAATAAATAGATCATGAGTTTGAATTCAGAGTACATGAAAAATCGCTAAAGGAAATGGCCTACAAAAGCACCAAAAATTGCTTTTTGTTGTCACTTTCAATATTGGAATTCATAACCCTTCAAAAGTGGCAAAAAATTGCTTCTAATAGAAAAGTGTGTCAGCTAAAAAATGCACCGCGTCCGCGGAAGTCAGCATCACGCCATGACGCAAATCACACACGTTCTCTTCTTTTTCTTCATAATTTTCACTAAGTCTTTATACATTTCTTGTATTGATTTCTTGCTCAATTCTTCACACTTTAACATGGCTTTTGATCATTCTTCTTTCGAATTTACCCGAATTTCTTCTTAAAAATCATGTAATGATGATTGTCATCACCCACCGACCCTCATATTTGGGGGAATGTGTTCATCACAGGAAATTGCGAGGGTGGATTGCCCAACCATGATTGAGAATAAAATAGCCTAGATAAGGATAGTTAGTGAGCCAAAGGCCGCCTTAGGAAAGCTCTCAGCAAGCAAGCATTTATGAATAATTATCACATGACATCGACGCATCCAAACATGTTCCACGAGTGCAGTGGTTGCCATATATGAACCAGAGCAATACCATGAATATTCATTATAGTAAGTAATGGTAGCTAAGCCTTTTGTCAGTGATCCGATCGCCAAAGAAAAAGTATAAAATGAGAACCCAATGAAGGAAGAAGGCATACTGAACTCTTAGAGAGAAGTTTCTCATTGTAACTCTTTCTTAGCAGCGTTAAAGGAGTTATCAAGTAGTGTTATAGGCATAATCATTTTGAGATTCTAAAATTTAAGTATTAGATGAATAACGAGTTTAATATGACTGAGCTAGGCGGATTGAGACGTTTTCTTGACCTCGAGTTTGCTGAAACTAGAAAAGGAAAAGTGATTCATCAAAATAATTAGATGAATAAATAGATTCAACATGTTGAATTATAATTTATTATACTTGTCCATAAAATTCAATTACACATTTAACAAATATAAAAATGAAAAAGAAATAAATAAGTAGGTGACAATGATGCTTACAATTCAATATCTAATATATTTCTCAACATAGGTGTAGTAAAAATATTTATAAAAAAATCATAGTAGTTAAATGTGAAAACAATGAAAATAATTAAATACTTCTAAAAAAACGGTTGATTTAGGTATCGTTTTCCTAAAATTTAAAAACCAAATGAGCAAGTTGGTTGGCTTTGATTCAGATTAGTACGGTGACAAAGTAGAAAAAAGAAGTACAATGGGTTGTCTGCTTAAACTCTTCAGTTTTCTAATCTCATAATTTTCTAAGAAGCAAATTATTGTGACATTATCATCACGTGATACCGAATACATTTTAATTTACAATGCAATATTCTAAAGTGTCAGGTTACAATCTTTGTTAGGAGAAATGAACATTATCAAAGAAAAAAAGACAAATACTATGGTGGACAAAAAAAAACTATCAACATTAGTAAAAATCACATATCTTGAAGATAAAATACTTATAAGTCAAATTTAATTTTCATAGACATTAAAATAAATAAAGAAAAAATCACTACGACCAAAGATCAAATTATAGGTATCCTAACAAATTTCTTGAAGAATGGAAAATTATAAGAAATAAAAAAATCTTAACGTACTTAGCCTAATAATTTTGAGTTAAAAGAGAACATTGAAATGTAAATCAAATTAGTGAGCTAGTTGAATTACTTGATAAACAAATAATTAATTATTTATGTCACTTGCTATGATAAACAAATATTTTAAGAAACGAGCCGTTTCGTGACGATTACTTGATGATTTTTATTCCTAAAAAAATACTCCATGTTTGAAACGAGCCGTGCGAGGTCTGCTACCAACGAATAATATAAACACTCACAACAAAGGGCACCGTGAACCGTATTTAACAGTAAGTCAACGGTCCTAAAAGGACAGTCTCGTAATTGACACGGAATCAATTGGCGTTCCACTCATTTCCTACAATTTGACACAAAATTAAAACACCTTAGCCATTTACACATAGTTTGAAGCATCATTTTTTGAAAGTGACTCATATTGCAACGCACAAGATAATAAGCTGTAGATGTCAAAGTGGGTGGAATTTTAACATTTATGTAAAAAAAATTACTTTCATGTACAATTAAATGAAGTGTATTTTTTTTTAATTTCGCCTTCAATTAAAGGAAATTTTATTATAATATTCTTAATTGTATTTGATTAATCAACTATATTAAATGTTTTTGAATTAAATTAAATATATATTAATAATATATGTATTAAATAGTTTAAAAATTAATGACTTTTACCATGATTTAAGGTGTTTTATTTATTTATTTATAATAGTAACAGAAGAAGAGACTATTAAATTTGTACATATCATCTTGTGCAAATCTTATTTCAATTTAAACAAATAAATATAGTTAAATTGGATATTATCACAAAAATTCAATTCTTAATATTTATTTTTGTATGCTATGTAGTGTGATACTTAAAAAAAAAAATTCAGTGTTAGACACTATAAAATTGTTAAAATGGGTTAGGCGATATAAGTTAATTTGTCAAGCTCGAAAAATTATAAAATTCTGATTTTAAAATTAGATTCTATATGGATTTTTTGGTAACATATTAATTATTTTCACTACACTAAATTTTATAAATATTATATTTAATTTTTCTCTTTTAAATCTTATACCCTAATATAATCAATACTATTTTTTTTATATTTTATTAGTTTCTTTTATGTTAAATATTCAAGTATTATTTTATTTAATTTAAATATTTATTATATTTACAAATATAATATAATATTAATAAAAGATAATATAAATACTTAAAAATATATTATTTTTAAAATAATATTAATTTTAATTTTATTTATAATAAATATTATGAAATTTTTAATTTAATTTTTTATTAAAAAAAGTCATTTAAAATTAGATAATCTAAAATATATCTAGAATCGGGTTTGAGTAATAAGTTTTGAACTCAATGTTAAGAGAGTTGTTTTAGCTCAGCTCTATAAAGTTTGAGGTTTGTTTGAGCTAGCTTGTTTAGAAAGAATAACCATTTTAACAATTCTAAAATTTATTATTGATTGCTTTAATGTGAAAATTGTATTCAAAATGTTTATGCTGGATAGAATTTACGTGTCGACGACGCCATCACCAAAATTCAAACATAAACTTCACTACTATTATATTATATGTGTAATTTTTTAAATTTTATTACTCTTTCCTCACTATTATATTATATGTGTAATTTTTTAAATTTTATTACTCTTTCCTCACTATTATATTATATGTGTAAAATTTTAAAATTTACTATTATTTCATCTCCAAATTCAAAATAAATAAAAATTTGTCCTCTATATAAAGCACCCACCGCTTTACATTCTCCTCGTGTATATATATATTTTCACACACAACACAATAATGAAAACTTGTTTTATGACTAGCTCCTAAAACTACAACACTATGGTTAGCACTGTCAACAAAACTACAACAACTGAAGCGGGTGGCGCCGCTACAATCTCCGCCGTACATCCCGATATTATTCAAACCCACATCCTCACGTGCCTCGACGGTCCCTCACTCGCTTCCGCAGCCACCACGTGTCCTCAGTTTAACACCCTCTCATCTTACGAGCATTTATGGTCCAATATTTGCACCTCCACGTGGCCTTCCACTAACACGCCGCGTGTCCGCAACGTAATCTCCACTTTCCCCAACATGTCTCGCTCTTTCTTCTCCGATTCTTTCTCAACCGTAACCGCTCCCGCCTCCAACCGCCATCGCGCCAATCTTGAAACCACGCCAGAAATTCTATCCGCCGTTGACTTATTTCACCGGAAAAAACTTGTTTTATCTAAATTGGTGGAGACTGAAACCGAGTCGGGTTGGTTTCGGTGTTCTCCGTTTCGGATTGATATTCTCGACCCGAAGGATTCGGTTGAGACGAGTATGGAGTATCCGAGAGAGGAAGAAGCGTGTAAGAATCTGGAAGAGGATTTGAGTTTGAGTTGGATTGTGATTGATCCGAGGGAGAAACGTGCGGTGAACGTGTCGAGCGGGAAGCCGGTGTCGGTGAACCGTCACTGGCTAACCGGCGACGTGGAAGTGAGATTTTCGACGGTGTTACACGGCGGAGAGAAGGGATCAGCGAAAGAAGCGACGCTGTGTAGTTTATTGGTGACGTTGGGGAAGGAAATGCAGGTGAGGGAAACGTGTTTTCAGCTTGAGGATATGGATGGGAATCAGATGAATGGGAGGGATAGTTTGGGAATTTTACAAAGAGCTTTGGAAAGTGAAAGGGAAAGATTGAGGAACGGAAAGGAAAGGTACGTGGAATTTGTGAAAAAGAAAATGGAAAGGAAAGAGAGAAAAATGAGAAGAGAGAGAAAATTGGATATTCTCTGCATTGCACTCGCTGCTTTGTCTGTTGCGGCATTTTCCACTCTCTTTCTCTCTTGATTTCAATATGTTTTATCATATTTTCGAGTTCATTTCAGATACAAACATATAAGAAACAGTGAACAATTTGATGTTAGTTACAGTGTCAAACAAATGTTGATGTTAGTTACATCTTTACAATAATTGAAATTGAAGGAAAGGAAGGTTAAGTAATGACTTATGATAAGTGTTTAATCCTACCATGATCTTAGTATATGGCTTTGTACATTAAAATTTTATTCAATGCAACTTGTAGATTTTAAATACTTATGTTTGGTTTTCATGTTTCCAAATAAAACTGTCTTTGTCACTCATAATCATAAATTAATGTGGTCTAAGGGTGGTTTTTAATTTGGAAATCTGGCTACTCCTATGAAAGACAACATTAATTATTTCAATGGTTGGACTTTACAATTCTATTATATATCTTATCATGTTTCTCCCCCAACTACATGACCACATCATACCAACAACCTCACAAACTATTTGATGTAAACAATTGATGTTTGGATCTCTATAACTTCATCGTACTATTACACCTGTACAACATTCAAGTCCAAATGACTATAGTAATTGATGGTAGATGTTTTTTTCTTTTTCTTTTGGGTAGTTTGATATAGGCATGACAACAAGATAAAGAGTATTGGATATTGTGGAATTGATGGTTAGTGATTTTTTTTTTAAGTAAAGAGTATTGGATATTGTGAAATTTCTTTTCTTTAGCAATATTTATGTGAAAGACACACCATATATTTATCTAAAATTTTAAAGTGATAGGTGAGTGAGTTCTCTCACTTATAAATTTTTAAGTCTCCACATTTCCAACTAATATAAGACTATTACTCACACTACTCACACTTACTATATTCTCAACACTTTCCTTCAAGTGTGAGTCCACAATTCTCTCTCTCAAGTGAAAGCTCTTTTTACTTCCACAAACTATTGAATCGCACGAAACGTTTCTTCTTACTCACCACCTTGGTGGCGCCGCTAACACTCTTCAATTGAACGTTTCTTACTCAACATCCTTGTGGTGCCGTTTGACTTTCGATACAAGTAAGTCGATCCCTTTCTCGAACCAAAGACTCATGATACCACATGTTAAAATTAAACCCAAGACTTTGAATAATTCCGAATCAATCTTGATGAACAAGATTCAATCACATCGATCAAATTCCCTTTTTAATCTTTACTTTTCACTTGAGTGAATCAACCAACATTGGTTGCAAGATTGTATTATTGCACAATGGTGATGAAAACAAGAAAAGAAAATTAAATTGGGAAGAAAGAAGAAGTTCTGCACAGTAACTCTCTGCTATCAAAACTGCAATTTTATTCAAGTGAATCACATTACAATAATAGGTTACTCCCTAAACAAAACACAAAAACAAAAAACTCAAAATACAAAATTAGGTTTAAGATAAAATCCATGCCAAGACTAACTCTTCGACAACTAGGTATTTTGACACACACTAGGTTATTCGACAACTCTTTTTTCCTTGTTGAGCAACTTGCTTCGACACAAAGAATTACAATTCAATACACCACCTAATTCATTGTGCTTAAGCTATCTACATTCATCATAGATCTTAATTTCTTGAATGCTTCGAGTTGCACGCCTTTCGTCATACTATCTGCAATCTGATTCTCAGTTTTGCAGTGTTCCAAGCTCATCTTCTCATTTGCTGCCTGCTCTCGAAGATAATGGAACCTCATTTCGATGTGCTTGCTTCGTCCATGTGTTATCGGGTTCTTCGCCAGATTTATAGTAGACATGACGTAGATCTTCATGGTAATTTCTCCATGATTCTTCCCTATAATCTCTTCGAATAAATTCACGATCTACATTGCTTGACATGCACAAAGAGAAACATTTATGTATTCTGCTTCACATGATGATAGTGCCACTATTGATTTCGTTATTTAACTCCAAACAATTGGTTCACCACCTTACATAAACACATAGCCAACTGTGGATTTTCTATCCTCAACATCATTACACTAACTTGAGTCAGCGTATCCCACTAATTTGCATTTTTTTCCTTCATCAGCTGTAGGAAGCAAAATGGCATAGTCGAGAGTTTCTTTCATATACCTTAGTATCTTCTTTGTCGCTGTTAGGTGTGATACCTTTTCCTTCTAAATGAATCTATCCATCATACATACACTGTATGCTAGATCATGCCTTGTGTGGCAAAGGTATTAAAGTGATCCAATTAGTCTTCTGCACTACGTTGGATCGACATCATCTTCATCTGTGTCTTTTGACAGTTGCAATATGGGTTCAGCTAGTGTCGAAGTTGGATTGAAATCTTGCATCTCAAATCTCTTAAGTATTTCGCCTCCATATCTTCTTTGGTGCATCATCAAACCTCTACCACCCTTGTAGAATTTGATGCCAAGGAAATATGAGAGATTTCCCAAGTCTGACGTTTTAAACTCCTCAGTCAAGTCATGTTTGAAATCTTCGAACTTTTTCTTGCAACTTCTTATTATCAACAAGTCATCGACATAAAGATATAATATAAGCAATTCACTATTGCTTGTTCTTACATATACTCTATGCTCAGTTGTTCACTTCACACATTTTTTCTCCCTTAGAAAGCTATCTATCTTCTTATTCCAAGTTCTTGGAGCTTGCTTAAGTCCATACAGGACTTTATGCAGTTTGTATACCTTGCTTCACAAACCCAACTGGTTGTGCAACTTAAACTTCTTCATCTAGAGCATCATTCAGGAATGTACATTTCACATCCATCTGACACATGTGCCAATTGTTCATGTTTTCTAGACCAACCACCAACCTAATTATTTCGATTCTAGTAGCAGATGGAAAGACTTCACCGAAGTCGATTCCTTCTTTCTGAAGAAATCCTTTTGCCACAAGTCTCGCCTTGTGTCGAGTCACTTCTCCTTTGAGATTCAATTTCACCTTGTATACCCACTTCACATTGATTTCCTTCTTGCCTTAAGGCAATTCGACAAGTGACAAAGTGTTATTGACTTCGATGGACTTTAGTTCCTTATTCATTGCTTTCACCCACTTCGAATCCTTCAATGCTTCAGTTGCATTGACTGGTTTGACATCTGCATAGAAAGCATAGTGTACCAACTCACCTTCATCATCGACCATATCATCTGACTTAATCACGCATTCTTGCAACCTTGCAAGCATGTGTCTCGTTCTTTAAGGTCTACTTGTGCTTGCTTAACCTCTGACTTCTTCTTGTCGAACTTCTCTTTCAACTTCACTTGTTGGTTTTTCACATAAGATTCTCACTGAATCCTTCTTTACATTTTTAGTCTAATCCCATTCCTTAAGCTCATCTATGATCATGTCCATGTTGATTACTACTTGCTTGTTCATTGGGTCGGACAACTTGTGTCCTCCAGTTAAATGATATCCTATTAGGATCATTTGACTCAATTTATCATCAAGTTTTATTTTCAAGTGATCAACCACATGTCTATGTGTTATAGATCCAAATACCTTCAGATGACTCAAGCTAGGCTTAACACCAGACCAAAACTCTTCTAGCGTGATTCCTTCTAGCCTTTTAGTCGGACGTCTGTTCAAAATGTATGTTGCAGTTGACACAACTTCTCGCCCATAATTCTTTAGATATATTCTTTCCTTTCAACATACTACTCACCATATTCATGATGGTTATATTCTTCCTTTCTGCATTTCCATTCTTCAGTGGAGTGTAGGGTGGCACTACCCCATACACAATCCCTTCTTTCTCACATAATGTGTTGAAGTATTTCGACATGCATTCTCCACCACTATCAATCCTCAGAATCTTGATCTTTCGACCACTTTTCCTTTTGACCATAGATTTAAACTTGGCAAATACATTGATCATTTCACTTTTTTGCTTGATCATGTAAGTCTATAATTTTCGACTAAAATCATCTATGAATGTGAAAAAGTATTTGTTACCTCTAACTGAATCCATCTAGATAGAACCACATACATCCGAGTATATGATTTCAAGAATTTCCTTCGACTTGCTTCTTGTATCCTTGCTAAAGTTGTTCTTGTGTTGCTTCGCCTACACACATCCTTTACACACTTCATTTGGAATGTCGATTTCTAGTAACCCTGAAACTATATTTCTTCTCTTCAGATCTCTAATGTCTTTGAAATTAAGGTGGCCTAGTCGATAGTGCCATATCCATTCATGCCATCACATTAAGTTCAATCCTGAAGGTTCTATTTTGAGACATAGGTGACTTCAAGATTAACCTCCACCTGAGTCAAGAACTCTTATCATTTTGTCTTTGATCGAAACTTTGTAGTTTTTTCCGACCAATTGCCCTAAGCTGAGCAAATTACTTTTCGTGCCTGGTATGTACAATAAATTGGAAATTACTGACCTTTTTCTATAACACCATACTCTACCCATTCATATAATAATTTGAAAATACGAAAAATTGCAGAAATAAATCAGAGTTACACACGTAGGATGCCACATTCAAAAACATCATCATGAAGTACCAAATCACTTCATATCTCATTTATTAACAAAAACAAATAATTCAATTAAACAACAGAATTAAATCAATGGTTTGACATTAAAGCCCCAATTACATCAACTCTCCACATAATACATGGTTCAACAACCTTACTAAAACCAGATACATAACAAACAACAAAGAACAAATAACATGAAAACATAACGAAATCCCCATCCTTCCCGTGTTACGTATCAGAGCAACTCCTAAGACTCGATCAAATAGCAACACAAGCTCCAAGCACTAATCAGGTACCTGATCATCTGTACTCCCCAAAGAGTGAAAACACAACAAACAGAAAAGGGGTGAGAACTACATTCAATAATACACGGTTAAAATCACATGCTAACGAGTAGTTAACACATAAATCACACCAATCATACAAGTACAACACACATACAAGTGCCACATCATCATTCGGTATAATCAACCCACATTCAATAATATACATATGCAATGTGACTCAACTGACACGATACAATGCATGCGGTACCATCACAATC